TAGATAGATAGACCGATAGATAGATAGACCGATAGATAGATAGACCGATAGATAGATAGACCGATAGATAGATAGACCGATAGATAGATAGACCGATAGATAGATAGACCGATAGATAGATAGACCGATAGATAGATAGACCGATAGATAGATAGACCGATAGATAGATAGACCGATAGATAGATAGACCGATAGATAGATAGACCGATAGATAGATAGACCGATAGATAGATAGACCGATAGATAGATAGACCGATAGATAGATAGACCGATAGATAGATAGACCGATAGATAGATAGACCGATAGATAGATAGACCGATAGATAGATAGACCGATAGATAGATAGACCGATAGATAGATAGACCGATAGATAGATAGACCGATAGATAGATAGACCGATAGATAGATAGACCGATAGATAGATAGACCGATAGATAGATAGACCGATAGATAGATAGACCGATAGATAGATAGACCGATAGATAGATAGACCGATAGATAGATAGACCGATAGATAGATAGACCGATAGATAGATAGACCGATAGATAGATAGACCGATAGATAGATAGACCGATAGATAGATAGACCGATAGATAGATAGACCGATAGATAGATAGACCGATAGATAGATAGACCGATAGATAGATAGACCGATAGATAGATAGACCGATAGATAGATAGACCGATAGATAGATAGACCGATAGATAGATAGACCGATAGATAGATAGACCGATAGATAGATAGACCGATAGATAGATAGACCGATAGATAGATAGACCGATAGATAGATAGACCGATAGATAGATAGACCGATAGATAGATAGACCGATAGATAGATAGACCGATAGATAGATAGACCGATAGATAGATAGACCGATAGATAGATAGACCGATAGATAGATAGACCGATAGATAGATAGACCGATAGATAGATAGACCGATAGATAGATAGACCGATAGATAGATAGACCGATAGATAGATAGACCGATAGATAGATAGACCGATAGATAGATAGACCGATAGATAGATAGACCGATAGATAGATAGACCGATAGATAGATAGACCGATAGATAGATAGACCGATAGATAGATAGACCGATAGATAGATAGACCGATAGATAGATAGACCGATAGATAGATAGACCGATAGATAGATAGACCGATAGATAGATAGACCGATAGATAGATAGACCGATAGATAGATAGACCGATAGATAGATAGACCGATAGATAGATAGACCGATAGATAGATAGACCGATAGATAGATAGACCGATAGATAGATAGACCGATAGATAGATAGACCGATAGATAGATAGACCGATAGATAGATAGACCGATAGATAGATAGACCGATAGATAGATAGACCGATAGATAGATAGACCGATAGATAGATAGACCGATAGATAGATAGACCGATAGATAGATAGACCGATAGATAGATAGACCGATAGATAGATAGACCGATAGATAGATAGACCGATAGATAGATAGACCGATAGATAGATAGACCGATAGATAGATAGACCGATAGATAGATAGACCGATAGATAGATAGACCGATAGATAGATAGACCGATAGATAGATAGACCGATAGATAGATAGACCGATAGATAGATAGACCGATAGATAGATAGACCGATAGATAGATAGACCGATAGATAGATAGACCGATAGATAGATAGACCGATAGATAGATAGACCGATAGATAGATAGACCGATAGATAGATAGACCGATAGATAGATAGACCGATAGATAGATAGACCGATAGATAGATAGACCGATAGATAGATAGACCGATAGATAGATAGACCGATAGATAGATAGACCGATAGATAGATAGACCGATAGATAGATAGACCGATAGATAGATAGACCGATAGATAGATAGACCGATAGATAGATAGACCGATAGATAGATAGACCGATAGATAGATAGACCGATAGATAGATAGACCGATAGATAGATAGACCGATAGATAGATAGACCGATAGATAGATAGACCGATAGATAGATAGACCGATAGATAGATAGACCGATAGATAGATAGACCGATAGATAGATAGACCGATAGATAGATAGACCGATAGATAGATAGACCGATAGATAGATAGACCGATAGATAGATAGACCGATAGATAGATAGACCGATAGATAGATAGACCGATAGATAGATAGACCGATAGATAGATAGACCGATAGATAGATAGACCGATAGATAGATAGACCGATAGATAGATAGACCGATAGATAGATAGACCGATAGATAGATAGACCGATAGATAGATAGACCGATAGATAGATAGACCGATAGATAGATAGACCGATAGATAGATAGACCGATAGATAGATAGACCGATAGATAGATAGACCGATAGATAGATAGACCGATAGATAGATAGACCGATAGATAGATAGACCGATAGATAGATAGACCGATAGATAGATAGACCGATAGATAGATAGACCGATAGATAGATAGACCGATAGATAGATAGACCGATAGATAGATAGACCGATAGATAGATAGACCGATAGATAGATAGACCGATAGATAGATAGACCGATAGATAGATAGACCGATAGATAGATAGACCGATAGATAGATAGACCGATAGATAGATAGACCGATAGATAGATAGACCGATAGATAGATAGACCGATAGATAGATAGACCGATAGATAGATAGACCGATAGATAGATAGACCGATAGATAGATAGACCGATAGATAGATAGACCGATAGATAGATAGACCGATAGATAGATAGACCGATAGATAGATAGACCGATAGATAGATAGACCGATAGATAGATAGACCGATAGATAGATAGACCGATAGATAGATAGACCGATAGATAGATAGACCGATAGATAGATAGACCGATAGATAGATAGACCGATAGATAGATAGACCGATAGATAGATAGACCGATAGATAGATAGACCGATAGATAGATAGACCGATAGATAGATAGACCGATAGATAGATAGACCGATAGATAGATAGACCGATAGATAGATAGACCGATAGATAGATAGACCGATAGATAGATAGACCGATAGATAGATAGACCGATAGATAGATAGACCGATAGATAGATAGACCGATAGATAGATAGACCGATAGATAGATAGACCGATAGATAGATAGACCGATAGATAGATAGACCGATAGATAGATAGACCGATAGATAGATAGACCGATAGATAGATAGACCGATAGATAGATAGACCGATAGATAGATAGACCGATAGATAGATAGACCGATAGATAGATAGACCGATAGATAGATAGACCGATAGATAGATAGACCGATAGATAGATAGACCGATAGATAGATAGACCGATAGATAGATAGACCGATAGATAGATAGACCGATAGATAGATAGACCGATAGATAGATAGACCGATAGATAGATAGACCGATAGATAGATAGACCGATAGATAGATAGACCGATAGATAGATAGACCGATAGATAGATAGACCGATAGATAGATAGACCGATAGATAGATAGACCGATAGATAGATAGACCGATAGATAGATAGACCGATAGATAGATAGACCGATAGATAGATAGACCGATAGATAGATAGACCGATAGATAGATAGACCGATAGATAGATAGACCGATAGATAGATAGACCGATAGATAGATAGACCGATAGATAGATAGACCGATAGATAGATAGACCGATAGATAGATAGACCGATAGATAGATAGACCGATAGATAGATAGACCGATAGATAGATAGACCGATAGATAGATAGACCGATAGATAGATAGACCGACAGACAGACAGACAGATAGACTGACTGACTGACTGACTGACTGACTGACCGACTGACAGACAGACAGACAGACAGACAGACGATAGATAGATAGACAGACAGACAGACTGACTGACAGAAAGACAGACGATAGATAGATAGACAGACAGACAGACAGACAGACTGACTGACAGACAGCCGATAGATAGATAGATAGACAGACAGACAGACGATAGATAGACAGACAGACAGACAGACGATAGATAGACAGACAGACAGACAGACGATAGATAGACAGACAGACAGACAGACGATAGATAGACAGACAGACAGACAGACGATAGATAGACAGACAGACAGACAGACAGATAGACTGACTGACTGACTGACTGATTGATTGATTGATTGTGTGTCACCCTAAATATGGTTGAAACTGGAACAGAGATTTCACAGTGGAGACAGTTAAGGAGCTGTCCATGGTCCTGGAACACAATCCCCTCCACTTGATGCTTACTAGATTTATACATAGTGCTGAAAGTGAGTTTCTAACCTTAAATAGTTGTTGTCACTAAAATCCTGTCACTCTACCTCAGATAGACTCATATGAGACATCTGTGAGCTGTATGCAGTGATTGGTCGCCTACATCACGTGGCATTACCATGCTCTTGTTTTTCCTCATGCTGTGAGAGATGACAGCTTCCTCTCTCTCTCTCTCTCTCTCTCTCTCTCTCTCCACACACACATAGTGCTATTTACACTCCAAATCACATACGACCTTTAATTTAGTCATTTATGGACATATTAAATAATTCTTATACAAATCTCCACATCCATTTACCCCTTACAAGCTAAAAAATATTAATAGCCTAGAGTATTTCAATTTCAATATTAATAAATGCCTCTAATACGTTAACATTAATAAAATAACCTGTATCTATGATTGGATAAGTCGCGTTCAACACTAAAATTCCACTAATTTTATATTAAGTTGCTCGGCAGCCGCCAACAGCCTACATTTAAGATTTGTTCATTAAATATTGTTCTATTTAAAAGTAATAATAATAATAACAGAGACTAATATAATAACAACAACAAAATTCAGACGCCATATAATGCGTGAGTGCATGCTCTATATAAGACGTTGTTTGCGTGGTAGTTATAATGTTTTCTGATTTATTAATAAAAGCATGTGAGTTTTGATTGCGCCTCTACCACGCATGTGTTGTATTGCTGCAGCGACGTGCATCAGATCCGCTTTCACACATTTAGCAGTTCTACTGGACCCGGACAGATCGCCTTCATCTCTTGCATTTATTTCCAGAAACCTGCAGTAATAGAGCAGGCAGCTCGTGCGTGCTTTGTTGTTTTGTGAGGGCTTGAATCGCATCGCAGCAGCGGCTCTGAGACGCGAAAGCCAACGCGATCTGCTATGTGTCACAGCGAAGAAATGCAGTAAAGAAAGGGGACGAGCAAGATGGTGATCGTGGCTGCTTTTCATTTTTCCTCTAAATGCTTGAATGCGATGGCCATCCCCGCGATCACGCCCAAGCTCTTTCTGTGGGCTTTTCTAATCGCCCATCTTCCTTTGAGGTAAGACTATCACACGAGAGGACGAATTTAACATTCTAATGTGTTCTGGTGCGCAAACGTTATATGGGCTGTGAGTGCATGCGCTGCTCTGTTTCCCATGCTTTCCTCCAATCTGTTTGCCTCGGTGTAATGGATGTGTGTTTTGTGACAGTATGAAGATGAAATCAGATGAATATCTGGCGACGTTGGGGCTTGCAGTTGTTTTTACATTGCTGGAGGCAAAACCCTTTAAATAAGCTCCAGAAAATCCCTATATGAGGCAGTGGTGCTGATGGTGTATAAAGCTATCGAATAATACTAGTAATAATTATATAACTTATACTAGTTATATAATGACCGTGTTCTGTCAGGATGTGTGTCATGATTCAAACAGCCATTAAATCAAATTCAGGGTAGCATTAGGATAGATGAGCCTTTTTCCTCAATGAACTATGCATGCTGTTTCTCATTGTACTTAGTCAAGGGCTAAAGTTCAAAGCTTTGCCATCTACATGAGGCCATTTCAGTCAAGACGTTTGTTTAAGAAGATTTAAGTCAGGGATTGACTCCTCCTCTCCACCTGCTGATGAAGAATCAGGAGGAATTCTGGCCTGTAACTACACCGTCGGAGCTTGGACACGGAACAAATCATACAAATATCAAAATATTGAAATAAATGATTATCAGGGGGTTTCAGCTGTCATGTTTTGTTGAGATTGGCTTTACGTTATGTTTGGTCCCCTGAGATCCCAGTGCTGTACATGCAAAAAGTTTTTTATTTTAGCATGCATCTCTGGCCTAATCAAACCCCAGTAGGCACATATTATTGAACCTTCTGTTCACAGGTTTTGTAGTTTTCTGATTTGGAACGCTAAGCATACACATTTAAGTTAAAACATTGTGCATTTCATCACCTTTTAAAGACTGGAGCATATAGTTGCATCAGTCACATGGGCTTTCTACATTCGAGGAGATTACTGACAAAAGCATCTATTGTAGTTATGGTAAAAGCCTGCTTATGTTCCTATATTTAACCAGTGTTTTGTAATATAATGCTTGCTTTCCATTATCAGGATAATGCAATAAATAGCTTTGCTATCTGCCACAGATTTGATGTCATAACAATTTTCTATCATACATTCCAAACAATTTCGCATAGAGCGTCCATCCAGAAAGCCACCTATTTACAACTGGGCCTTATTTGGGATAGTGTAGTGATAACTGATCGGGAAAGGACAGTTACTGAGGGATTCAAACAGCTGTGCACTCTTAGGAGCAGAATTTTAAATTGTTCTTAACATTGCTGAAATCACTGATTGACAATTACTTACAGAAGGATTAGCATTGATAATGCTGCTAATGCTGTCACTCAGGGTTATCTCCCTAATCTACTTGAACTTTGAAATAGAAGACTGTAGGTGTTCTACTATTTTACAACTAAATTACTTTGTTCGTCTGGTTGTTTGAATGATGTGGGGGTGTATTTTTCGGACCCATAAGGAATAGACCAAGCAAGTGTCAGATACACAGGGATCAAACGCTCATCTGATGCACGTGTCGGCTGCACCCCAAGACTATGACATTTTCATCTGGAGTCGCACCACAGGGATTAATACACTCACTTGTGGTGTGATGAAAAGATTGCTGCTGCCTTTGATAGCACTCAGCATGCTGGTTTAAGAGCAAGGTCTGTAGTAACACGGAAGATGTTCTGAACCAAAGCTCAGATGTTTCAAAGTTGACCCGAGACTCCCAAATGCGCGCGGTGTGTTGCAGACAACACGTGAGATGGTACGTTATGATATTCAGAAGTTACTCTCTCATCTTCCCAAATGTCCAGAAGACATTAAAAGCCAATTTATTGATGTGTTACTGATGCATAAATACAAATATTTGCTGTCTTTGAGGAAAAAGGCAGTAGTAAAAAAAATGTCTGTACGTGAGATAGCATTTATATATGATAGTATTTGTTAAAAATCAGTGTTGTTCCAGTTTCATAAATCAGTGGTTCTCAGTTAGTTGCAGGCCAAAAACATAATCATGCATAGTTAGGACAGCAAAATAAACAGGCCTGAAGCAAAACCAGTCAAAAAACCTGCAATAAAGTATCTTTTTTTTTTTTTCTTCAAATAATTATTTTTGAATATAAAAACTAATCACAGTTCAACTTTAATCTGATCTTATGGTAACACTTTATTTTAAGGACCAATTCACACTATTAACTAGCATGCACATTACTAGCATATTGGCTGTTTATTAGTGCTTATAAAGCACATATTAATGCATCTTTGGATTTTGTGATCTATTTTAGATCCACCCCACACCTAAACTTAACAGCTACCTTACTAACTATTAATAAGCAGCAAATTAGGAGTTTATTGAGGCAAAAGTTGTAGTTGATTTTTAGCCATAGTGTGAATTTGTCCTTAAAATAAAGTGTGACCAATCTTATTTAGTTAGGCTTAAGATGTGAATATCCAGACTGTTCAAAGGTCATCTAATTAGGGAACCGAAGGCCATTACAGGTCAGCTGATGTATTGTTAGTAGCACTTTATCTTCAGGAGAGTGTAGATGGGGACATTTGGTTTCTTCTGCCTGTCTGCAGCCTCATTTTGGACTAGTGATGGACAAGTGGGCTACATGCACCAGATGGTGTACTTCAGCAGAAGAGCTGGGCCCAATAAACAAAAATGGCATCAGCGTCCCATCAAGGGAAATATCATCTCCATTTCATTATCCGCTGTCTTATACATCTTATACATAAGCATCACAAAAGGGTTACGGTGAGCGTTTTGCTGCATTGCTGCATGGGCTGATTATTGAATTGCAATAAGCAGACATGTTATTTCATTACACTCAGTAAGGATGAAATGAAAATCTCACCACCACACAGAAGCCATTTGGGCCACGCAGACAAGTTATTTCCTCACATATAAGATTGGCCATTGCAAAATTGAAGCATTTTCATAGTGTATTGTTGTATTTCTAAAAATCTCCCCACTGTTATATTTTGCATGAAGAAAATAAAGCCTTTTTATGACCTTTGGAGGCAAAAAATTAGAAAATGCATGCACGTTGTGTTAGTTAACATTTGACTTGGCAGCTCATGGCCCATTATTCTTTTTCAATAAACACTAAACCTGGTTAAATATAGACAGCTTAATGTGTCTTTAAGAAAGGTTAGGTTAACTCTTAGGTTAAGTACTGTAACTAAATTAACATAATCAGATTACTTTTTTCAAGTAACTAGTAAAGTAACTCAATACTTTTTTACTTTTTCAAATAAGTAACGCAAGTCACTTTGTTTTCCCGTGTATAGAGAAAGTGAAGCTGACGTCACGCCGCGTTGAGTTCTGGGAAACGTCTTTGTTTGTCCGCCATACTGGGAGAATCGCGCTGCTTGGCTCAGTGTACCAAGACAAAATTGTAAAGCATTTACTATGTGCAGACATGCATATGAGCCCAAAATGGGAACAAAACGTGTTTATTTACACGTTAAGCGTTTTCACTGTCTTATATCACTGTCTTAGTACATCAAGCCAGCATTTTAAAATGCTACAAAACTGTTAACAAGCTCCCAGGGATTTGATTTTGGTTGTCATTTGATGAAATAAATATTAAAAATCCAGTGTGTTCGTGTCTGTCCGCTGGATATGACCCACAATCTCTGATTCTCCTCCGTGGCCGTGGAAAAATGAGTAGCCTATTTACAATCACAACAATTATACTTCGCCACTGAAATGTTTCCTACAAAGAAATGGATGGACTTCTGTCAGCTTGTTGAACACACACTTTTATTTGGATGTTCTACCATATGACTGTAATCAACCTACATTGTAAAAAAATTCTACAAAAAAATTATTATGCAAAGCGATAAAATGACTTCTCTTCCTTGCGAACGCTACAATGAAGAATGCGAATATTTAACTTCAAATCAAAAACAAATGATAAACAGGTATCCATATTAATTTCAGCATTTGTAGCAGAGGGCGTTCCTCCCAGAATGGCGGCAGCGGCCCGGCACTAAAGGCGTATCTTCACATTCTCTATTGACTGACATTACATTTCCTTCAGCCTGAGGCTTATTCTCTTCACGTTTGGCGTGAAAGGGCTTCTACATTTGCTTAAAAATAGACATTTTTATATTAAAAACAAACAAGTAAGCCCAGTCCAGATGGAACAATTTACGCAAAAGTAAAGTAACACATTATTTTTCATAAAAAGTAGCCAAGTAACGTAATTATTTACTTTTTTGAGAAGTAACGCAATAATGTAATGCATTACTTTAAAAAAAAAAAAAAAACTTTCCCCAACACTGATTCTGAATAAACGTTTGTGTGGTAGGCCTACTCATAAAACCCGTAAAAAATCATAAGAATGTACTTCTGTTCTGTACACTTATTAGTCATTTTACTGTCATTGGATATGTGCAGTTTCTCTTAAGTCTAGCATAACCTGGATTATTCTTACAGGGTTGATGAAGGCCTGCATTTCAAGCACACTGCAAGGAATTTTTAATCTAAAGCACATGAAAAAGCTTGCTTTCCCACCCGGCCAAGACCAAGCAGTGAGTGTAGTTGTTCTGATTTTCATTTCTTATTCTTCTAGTTAGTTATTCTTTTTCTTCCCTTAAAAGCATCTGTACCTCAGAAACAGTCACAGAGATTGGTGGGATGCACACACATCCATCTGACAGTAGGTGGCACTATAATAAGATCAATGCTGTTTTGGTTCATGTCTCGGATAAACAAACAAACAAACATGGCTGCCAGCAGCCAATCAAACTTGAGCAGCTTATAGCAGTAGCACATTCTTGCTTATAACTCTAGAAGAGTCATTTCTAAGCCTTCAAAGTCTTTCCTTGAATCCAAACCAGTGCCCCAAAATCAGCTGATTATTATTAGTAATTATTAGTATTTGATCTATGTCCTCACGAGAAAGCCATTCCCCGTTATTTGAAAAACTTCACAAAACTTGGTACACATGCACAAGAGGACATTCTGAGGAAACATGCTGAATT